TGGATTTTTTTTTTTTGCTCGGAAATAAAAATTGCCAAAATGTTTACCATGGTCCATAATACCCTACGAGATTCTAAATGGGTGTGTGGAATAATCCAATTTGCTGTTAAACGACCAATTTACCGATTTACAATTTGCATCGATTTACAACGGACAATTTAATTATCTTGCACCGAACCCGACTTGAACCGAAATTGACCCTAACCCGTTTTAACCTGTCAATACCCGAATTTAACCCGACTTGTTACTAACCTGACCTGAATTCAGCCCGATCCGTTCTTAACCCGACCCGAATTTAACCCAACCTGTTACAAACCCGACTCGTTCTTAACTGACCCAAATTTAACCCAACCTGTTACTAACCCGACCCAAAATCAACTCGACTTGCTATTACCCAGATTCAACCCGACTTATTATTGATCCGACCCGAATTTTACCAGACCTATTACTTACCCGACCCAAAAATTCAACCCAATCTGTTACTAATCCGACTCAAAATTAACACGACTTGTTATTAACCTGGCCTAAATTTAACCCAAATTGTTCCTAACCCGATTTTAAATCACCTTAAATGTAATTTAGACCACCTTATTATTGTTGATCAAAGCATTTTGTCTAGGGAGATCAAGTCAGTCGAGGCTAGCAAAAGAAAAGAGCATCATCCCCAAATTTAAGAGTTAAATATAGTATATATTTGTTGTATGGTCAAAGGAGATAATTATCTTCATAAATTATAGACTACAGTTCCCTAGTATATTGTCATATATATTATAGTCAAAGGAAATAATTAGATTGATAAAAATGATGATTAGTTAGGGCTTGTTCTCTTCCGTTGAAATTCAGTTCAGCCCAGCCCAGCCCAGTTCAGTTCAGTTCAGCTCTTAATTTACGTCTAATGATATAAAGCCAAATTTCATTCTTTTAAGCTCTTATTACAACGACGACGACAACAACAACAACAACAACAATTACAATAATAATAATAATAATCAATAAGTAATAAATAATAATAATAATAATAATAATAATAATAATAATAATAATAATAATAATAATAATAATAATAATTGAAACAACAACAACAACAATAATAATAATACTAATAATAATACTAATAATAATAATCAATAAATAATAATAATACTAATATTATTATTATTATTATTAATATGTACATTTGTATATACACATATGTATATCAATAAATAATCAATAAATAATCAAAGATCACTAATTCGTAGTTAAAATTCACTAATTAATAAGTTCAGTTCAGCTCAGCTCAGCTCAGGTTCAGCTGAGTTCAGTCAATCGGAACAGGCCCTTAGTTGAACTCGAATATGACCTAACTTGGAAATGACCTGACTGCAAATTATTGACTTCAACATAATCCAACTTGAATCCGAGAATGACCCGACCTGATTATAATCCGCAAATTATTGACTTGAACCGAACCCGACTCAAACCCGAGAATGACCTGACCTGATTCTAACCCGCAAATTATTGACTTGAACCGAATCTGACTCGAACTCGAGAATTACCTTAACCCGTTTTAACCCGAACTAAACCCAACCTATTGTTTACCCGACCCGAATGTACCCGACCCAAACCCGATAAGAAGTATGACCCGACGTGACCCGACTCAAGCATGACCCGACCCAAACCCAACTCGTATAGGTTATGGAATTAATCCAAATTGACCCGACCCGAGTTGACCTGACTCACTCTTAACCGACCTAAACTCGACCCGTTTACCTGAATTAACAGCTCTAGGTTGGAGTAGAAATTTATGTCGAAAATAAGATGTGCATGCACCTTAAGAGACAGGTAGTATAGTGTTCAGTTTGGCCAAAGAAAAGTATGCTTCATGCACCTTAAGAGACAGGTAGTACAGTGTTCAGTTTGGCCAAAGAAAAGTATGCTTCAAATTGCAAGACATAGATGGTGCAATATACATGTACGAGAGAAGTTATAGTCTCCTTTGGTTTGCTTTGATTAAGTTGCTGAAAGTTAAAACGCTAAGATGTCGACGTAATCAGATACATATGAGCTTCAGCAATCAGAATGAGAGAATAGTGTATATACATAGCATATTATCAGACTATGGATCGACAGATGATTATGGAAAACCGACATAGTAAACACTAGTGTGGTGGAGCATTGATAATTCTTCTGCAATTATGAATATATAATCGTTGCAGTATGTTAATGTTTGCATTTTACCAGCAATCTAGACATGATCAATGTAGAATAATGAGATAAACCACCATTCGACTCGATTTTAACATTAGAAATCCTATGATAAAGAAGAAAAAGGCAGACCATAAGGAAAAATGTCCCCTTAAGGAGCATCTCAACAGCTCAACTAAGTATTCCGGCCACCTTTCTAATGAAGGGTGGGGTGGTGGTTGGTTTTGTCTAAAAGTGTCTCATATAAGGTCTGTTGACTCTCTTTCAGAAACCATTAGTGACTCCTACAAGACAACAAACCTGGGTCCGACAGTTCAAATGTAGCTACACAGTCTCTATTGTCGTCGAAATTCTTTATCATACAGTGTACAAGTATAAACTAGGAAAATAAAGAATATACCAAAAACAGCTAATCTACATGGACACTTACTTCTGCTTAAACTTGTTGAAATGAGGTGTGAGGAGAACAGAGCCTTAGCCTAATTTTATTTATCTCTGTCAACCACCATAACAAGTTTTATCAGTTTGATTTCCCAAGATACATGGTTTTCAAAGGAGCATTAAGAGCTTTATAGCTACACATCAGAAAATGCAAGATATTTAACCATGTACAACTTCAAGAACATGAACAATGTGCAAAACATTAACCACGCAAGGTTTTAGATTTCAGGCAATTCAATATGCATAAATCTCCAAAACCTTACAACATAATGCAACACGAGATTATGTACATTCACTCATTAATAAGCTCTATACATACAGCACACACCTAAATAAGAACTGAAATAAAGCATTCCACAAAGTATAATCAGTTCATACTTAACCGTGTTTGAATGCTAATAAAGCTTAATATTTCAATTACTTGAATCAGCAATGCATGAATAGAAAGAGAAACATTAATCTGAGGATGCAAAATGCTTCAATAAGATCTAATAGACTAAAAAATTATACAAGCAAGGCTATGTACGGAGTAATTACCTATCACCACATCTAAAGCAAAATGACACCTCCATTAATAAAGCCTTTGGGAGCATGTGATTAAATGAAGGATACACTTTATATGTTATCAAGTTGAATGTTGAAGAAAAGAAAACCATACACTTATGAGTGGGTAACGCACGCATAGGAAAAGAGCATTGAGCTTGCAAGGAGGTTATAACATGTAAGAAGAGCTATGAATGCACGCATAGGTAGGTTAAGAGTACAGGCATTGAGCTACCTAAAAGTTAGAATATGCAAGGAGGCCAAATGGTTAAGTGTCATTGTTAGCTCTAGGGAAGTGAATCCTGTATCAGATCCTATAATGCAAATAAGATTGAGTTAAGAAATTTGCAATTGTTTTGACCAGGCCTGCCCAATGCATCATCAGAGTACTATTTGATATTATCCAGACTTGTCTGGACTTTCTCATGCAATATGACAGGGTGAGAGTAACACCTAAACACTTTTAATTTAAAATGTCATCAGCAACAGGTGAAAATCTCAAATCCTGATCCCAAAGTGCACAGCAAAAGGCAACAATCTCAAATCCAGATTCCCTAAGTGCACAGCAAAAGGCAACAATCTCAAATCCCGACCAACAACATGTTCCATATAATTTTCTGGCTCACTGCTATACTGGTAAAAGACAGGCAACCTGGAATACAGAGAAGGGGGCCTAAAATTAGGTTGCTTTTATACCATTGCAATGTCATGTGCCCACAAAATCTCTCAGCTTAAAAAAATGAGTTGAATAATATTGTGCAGCCTAAATGTTGCGCTCTTTCTCCATTACCTAACTACGCACTAGTATCTGAGTATTGAATAGTAGAAAAGCCTGTGGTATTACCACTAGATAGGTTGAACAGGATAACAAGCCGAAAAAAGGTGAAATACAAGTAGAAGAATAAGGCTCTAGAATTATCCCAAAGATTGAAAGTATGAGATTTACGAAAGAAGATGAGAGAAGCTCATGACTTGACAGACATAAAACTATTAAGCAACTCATGAAAAAAAATTCCTGAATTATGTCACAATCCTGCAATTCTAGCAGCTATAATTACACTGTTAGGCCTTTCACCCTGGTAAACTGACAGGAGCACTAACAGCAGAAACATATTCATCCTGGTAAACTGACAGGAGCACTAACAGCAGAAAAATATGTATTTCAATGTAGAAGTGAGCTAAATACTGCATTTCTTTTGGGCCAGAAGGTGGAACTGAACAAGGTTAATAGGTGAAATTGTGAAAAGTTTCATCTAAATGAATAGCCTTTTAGTTTTTATTTGATGCTTGTCATGCTTCTATAGCTAATCTTCGACATAGATTGTCTATGTCCACATATAATGAGCTGAAGTGGTGTAAATTTTAAGGTAAGCACCCCTTTGATAAAACTATGCCAATAATCCCTCAGCTAGCCTAGACAAGACTACAGATTATTCAAACTTGACTCAAAGCATTGAGGTCCAGTATTCCAGTTAATCCAATTGAAGTCGATCCTAAATACATCAAAGACTTGAAATCTTACAAAATGCTCTTAAGACAAAAATGTCAAACTACCTGAATTTTAACCCAATAGCCAACATCAAACACATAAGAATAAGCCATACATCACTCACACATAATAAAGCCACAAGACCGCCCCTTTAAGCATCTACTAGACCAGCTCAAACTAAACTGTACCAAACAAGGAGACCAAACTGTCTCAATTCTAATCTCAACCTATCTCATTATAGTCAATGAAGAGTTAACGAGCCATCCAAGAAAACATTAAGTCTACACGTCACATTTGCCAACCAGTATTACATACCCAACAAGCAAAACTCACACACAACTTAAAAAGTTTCCTAAGTAAATCAAACCAACTGTTTAAATCCAATGAAACATTTTCTTTCATCAATATCAACACTTGGACAACAATCCCACCTCAGAAATATCTCAAAATGAACAAGGGTTTGCAGTATGACAACAATAGGGAACATTATTTCAATTAAAACCCCAGCAAAAATGTTCTTGAGATTAATTATCATTGCAAAATTAAAGCAAACTCCCCCTAAAAAACTGACCAAAATATATCATAAATTCCACAAATTTCCCATTTTCATAAAATAAAAATCACTGATTAAGCTGCTTCTTGTACTTAGCTACCTCATCATCATTAGGAAAGAACCCCATGAGTCTGCCAGCAGAGTTCTGGTAAGCATACATGAACCCGCCCATCAACCCGATAAGCCCGCCCGTCACCATTGAAGGTCCCTTAATTCCAGGCTTAATCCCTAAATCACAAAAAACCCAGAAAAATTAAATAAAAAAACTACAAATTGGGAAATGGGTATTGATTAAAATGCAGAAAAATGAAGTGGGGTTACCAGATAAATAGCCAACAGTGACTGAAACTCCGGTAATAGTGACGAAACGAAGGTAATCGAGGGAGCTGAAATTGCCGACGACTTTGGTGAAAGGTGGGTTTCGATCAACTACTGTGAATTCGGGCTTTGTGGATGCTGTAATGTCGGTGTTCATTTTCTCTCTCCTGTTTTCTGGTGATCGGAGCTCCGGTGACTGAGATTTGGTTCACTCTCTCTCTTAAAGTTTGCTCTTTTAGCTGCTACGATCTGGTGTAAAACTTGCCCTTTTTTAGCCTTTGGGATTGGAATTGGCCCAATTGGTAAAACGCAGCGTTTAAGGAATTTTTTTTTTTTTATGATGTGAACTTTTTTTTTTTTTTTACAATGGTAAGAAAAAAAGAAAACATTAGGAAACCCTCCTCACGAGGGGAATTCCTAGTGCGTCGGAAGAAAGGATGGGAAATAAAAAAGAATTATTACAAGGGACTATATTCATACTATCACTAACTAATGACCAACATTTGCTATCCAGTCCGCCGCTTGATTTGCCTCTCGAAAGATGTGACGAATGCTATAGTTATCGAAATTGCTAAGAAGTGAATAAATGTCTTGAATAATATGATCAATTTGCCATGGTGCTGACCAGATGCCATTAACAGAGTTGATTACTAAAAGATTATCACCTTCAATTATGATATTTTTGATCCCACGCTCAAGAGCAAGAAGAATGCCTTTATGAAGAGCCATGGCCTCTGTTATGAAAACCTTGGTGGTGCCGAGGTTGAAAGCGCGAGCTCCTGAAACTGCCCCACTACTGTCTCTGATGAGAATCCCTGCGGCTGCTAATTTGTTGAGTACCGAACCATCAAAATTGAGTTTGTAGAAATTTGTTGGTGGCGCCTCCCAGGAAACCATGATAGTGTTTGTTGGAGAATGAGGAGGAGAAGATGAGGATCTCCGAATAGGAACATGGAAATTGATTTTGACACTCTCATTATGAATCGTATTTAGAGGTATTAAAAATTAATTTCACTAAATATCTCAATTTGAATCAGAGTGACTTGTTTTATGATTTGATTAACATGGACACATAAAGATTATTAGACGCGAACTTAACTGTGACATGACTGAAATTTGAAATCCTCCCTAAGCCGATGAACACGAATTAACTGTGACCCATTAGGGTATGATGGGATAGGTCAGGCCTAAATTAGCCAAGTTAGGTTGAGTATGATTGAGTTAGTGTAGAACCTGCATGAATCATGCTATTAGAATCTAAGATAATAAGGAATTTTAATTGGACATGGTTATAATGATGTATGCTCTAAGTTAACGTTACAATTATTATTTAAAAATTTGACCTTTAACTTTCAAAAATTGTAAATTTTTTGTTTGACATTTGTCAACGATCCAAAATTTACATGTAAATGCAAAATATATATATATATATTATTAAAGCATGTTTTTTTAACCTACTTTGACCTAACTAGATTTATATGAGCTTATTTTATCTAAAGTCACATATATGTGAACTTTATTATTTCCATCAAAAAAATATTTACATTTTACTTTACAGAAATAATATATAAACTTATTTTTTTTCTTAATTTATTTGAGTTTATTTAGACTTCATTCTCCTCAACTTATTAACATACATAAGTTTCAACAAAAATAAGTTTAATTGATTAAAGATAACTAATAAAGTTCAACAAAACTAGATATCAACCTATATTCTCTGAGCTTAGTATCGTATTGGAGGGCATTGTTTCGTTGAGTATATTTTTCTTAATTATCACTTGCTCTCAAGCAAATACGAGGGAGGATTAACGATTATAAAATGACTCATTATCTTGCTAAGCTAATACCTCTTATAACAACCTACTCAATAAATGCTAGAAAAATTCTATTCTTAGACATAACACAAGAGTATTAACACAAATTAGTTCATACTCCATACTCTAGAGGAATGTACAACATAGTCAAGAATCTCGATTTAAACTTATTTTGTCCGAACTGAACTTAACCAAGACCCAAAGGAACTCTCTTATCTTGTACTTCTGGTTGACAGAACAATACCATACCATGAACAACAAAATGAAGACGAAGAAGAAGATAAACCACCAGATTCTCTAAACCCCACTTCCTCCATTACCAAAGATACCTTCTTCCCCAATTTTTTAGGGTTTCTAATTTATCTTCGTATATTCTTTCTTTGTCTTCTCTTCCTTCCTTTAATGGCGATTTTCTCTCACTTCACTCTCTCCTCCACTTCTCCTTACCTCCATTTTCTCTCTCCTCCCGCCATTGTTGAACCTCACTTCATCTTCAGCCCCCAATTTCACCGCCTAATTATTCCTCCTTCTGCTCATTCTAACCCTAAGCTTTTGAAGCCCAATCGCCGCTCTCCGTTCGGCGACCCGCTTCCTGTGTACGATTCTGATGAAGAAGAAGATGATGAGGTGGAGGTTCTGGAAGATTCGAATTTGATTTCTGGTGTTGTGATTGATAATGTTGATGATGATGATGATGGTGGTGTTCCTTGGTTGAATGATGATGTGAGTTTGTTGAATTTTATGTAATTTTGCAATTGATTTTGTTACTGTTTTTGGGTTTCTGTATAATTCTGATGTTATGCTATTGTTTGATTCTGATTTTTGATGTAGAATTAATGGTTGAATGATGAATTAAGTAGAAATTTTGAGTAAGCTTAAAATTGTGAAAAATGAAATTTAGCATCCTAATTTGGTATTCATTTAAGAATATATGACAAAATCACTAAATAATGGGTGTATTTGATGATGTTTAGCTTAGCTTAGCTTAGCTTACGGCGGTGTCACCTAAACGTGTCATGATTCTTAAATTATCTAGCAAAATTTGAAAAAAAAGACCTATTTTCAGATGTTTAAAGGGTATTATAAATTGAAACTAACCAAGATAAATAGCATAATAATTCAAGTATCATAATTTATTTAGTAAGCAACGACGAATGATTACATTGGACTTTTGATGGCTTTGTTCGAGGGAAGGAAGGGGGGGGGGGGGGCTTAGAATCATAATGAGGAAGGTTTTCAGAAGCTAAGCTGATGGGATTGCCTTCGCAATAGTAATTGACAGTCTATTTATAGATAAGGGGAAGGCTGAGAATCATAATGAGGAGGGTATTCAGAAGCTAAGCTAATGGGATTGCTTTCGTAATCGACAGTCTATGTAAGTATGTATAGATAAGGGGAGGGATTCTTCTATTGTTTGATATTCCATAGTAAGATGTGAATATGATTATGAGTTTCTATGCTTGCAGTGCAAAATTTTATTTGGATGGTGTTCAATCATAAGGGTTTGTGTATTGACACTGTAGGTTTTTATGGGTGCTCTATTGCTCACTCCGCTCTTCTATGAGGAATTCAGTTCCTTGACTATCCCTCACTCCTTAAATTTTAATGCCTCATCAATCCATCATACCACATAGTAGTAGTCTGGTTAGATTTAGATAACTGGAAAACTCATATTTTTTTTAACATAGTAATAAATATAAGTACTTTACTGTTCTGATGGCTCCAAATTAAAAGTAGCCTATATGTTATCGAAAAATTAAAGATTGGAAGCTTCAGGATTTACGGAAGTTGACGACTTGACTAGCTTCACGTATCACTGTGAACACATTTTTTTCTATCATGGGAAGTTGTTTCCATCATACATTTATTTAATATGCATAATCGTATCATCTAAAGGTCTTACAGTGCTCTAAAGCTCCGTTTCACTTTATTATCTTATCAAAGACCTGTACATTAAAATATCACATGATTTGTTTCAACAAATTCCTGCAGGATGATGAATTTGCAGAACCAGCAAACCTGAATAGTGGTGAACAAAGATCTAAATTGTTGGCTGCTACCAAGCTGAGACCAGGTAAGATTTGAAGTCCTTCATCAAATTGTCCCAGTTTGAGTTCGATTCTCATATAATCCTCTTATTAGGAACCCGGAAAAAGACAAGTAATGTGGGCACAAAAGCGGATGGTAAAGGGAAGGTAGGCTTTCATCATGTTCTGAAGTGTCAGTGTGAGGATGTATTGCTGCTGTTTGGACTGAAGAGCCTTCCATTATTGCCTTTGATTGCAGTTGGAAGGAAGGAAAGGTCCAAAGAAAAAATATCCACAGCTAGCAGAGGAATTTAGACTTGATACTAGATGGATTCCCCTTCTTGATTATCTGAGTACCTATGGGATGAAAGAGTCTCATTTTGTTCAGATGTACAGAAGGCACACAAATGCTTTTCATATTAATGTTTTTTCTGCACGGGAAAGGTTGGAATACTTGATGAATGTTGGCGTCAAACAAAACGACATCAAAAAGATACTATTAAGGCAACCTCAACTTCTTGGGTATACTGTGGATAGCAATATGAAGTCCCATGTGGCATTTCTGGTGGATTTAGATATTCCTGAATCCAAGATAGGGCAAGTAATCACTGTTGCTCCATCTATCTTTTCATATAGTGTTGAAAATTCCCTGAAGCCCACTGTAAGATACTTGATTGAAGAGGTTGGGATCAAGAAAAGTGATTTGGGCAAAGTTGTGACTTTGAGTCCTCAAATTCTTGTTCAGCGGGTTGACATCTCTTGGAATGACCGCTATGATTTCCTTTCAGAAGAGCTGGGTGCACCTAAAGAAAGTATTGTGAAAATGGTTACTAAACATCCCCAGCTTCTTCATTACAGCATTGAAGATGGATTATTGCCCCGGATCAATTTTCTGAGGAGCATTGGCATGCAAGATCCTGAAATCTTGAAAGTCTTGACTAGCATCACACAGGTCTTTTTCTTTATCTCTTAAATCTCATCATTCTTACGAGTTATGATTATTTTACTATAGAAGCCCTCTCTGGTCAGTATTGCATGTCAGGTTGCCTAATATTCTGATTCCATTATGTTTCTTCTCAAAAAAATGTTGCTAGAAAATCTTATGGTTGTTTGTCATGTATCTTTGTAGGTACTTTCTCTGTCACTGGAGCGAAATCTTAAGCCGAAGTATAAGTATCTAGTTAATGAACTTCAAAATGAAGTTCGATCCTTAACGAAATATCCCACATACCTTAGCTTATCACTGGAACAGAGAATTCGTCCTCGGCATAGATTTTTGGTTTACCTGAACAAAGCACCAGAGGGACCTTTTCCTCTGAGATCTTTGGTTCCGACTGATGAATCCTTCTGTCAGCAGTGGGCAGGTACTAGTGTGGATAAGTATATAGCGTTCAGGCAAGGCATGATGCTCAAAGAGTTTGCAAAGAAATATGAAAAGCAAGGTTGAATTGGGTAGTTTTAACGTAAATGGGACTAACCATATTGTTGAGCTTTCTCATCATGACACTGATTTTGAAGACGTGTATAGTCAAATTTTGGGTACATACTATTTTCATAAACTAATGGTATGTTAACCCCATTTGTAGATAATCTTATCTGCCTGCTTTGGTAAATTACATTGTATATACTCAGATTTGCTGTTTGAAAGATCAATTCTAAAGGTCATTGTGTTTTTTTTTTTTGCAGGAATTACACTGATTCCCGACTTGTTTATATTTGTATTGAAATAGACTGAAGGCAACTTTGTTGCTCCTGTGATCTCCAAGCAAACTGTGGTATTGCTAGGTCCATTTTTCGAGGTTAATACTATCAAGGTTAGTTACCCATGATAATGTTTTAAGTATTTCTAAACATGTTATTGGCTTACTGAGCGAACATTTATTCATGAGTCGTCTTAATATCTGATGAAGGGCTTTTAGCATATCAATTTTACCCTTTAACACTTCCCTTCCAATAAATTCTTCTATAACTGATTGTGGCTCTCAGCTATGCTGCTATGGCCTATGGGCATGCTCATCAACTATATTTCATAGGGGTTGTAACCATTTTCAAGTTTTAATATAGGATGCCATACTAAATTCGTAAAATTCAATAGGGATGCTCTCGTGAGTTTCCTTTCAGACTATACTATATTCTTTTGCATTATACTCATTCATTTTTTGGTCACTTCATTGCAGGTCTTAATTGTCTTGAGTTCAGCTGTAATCACAACAGTGCACACAATCAATACATAGTTATCATACAAATGTCTTTTTTTGGGCTCATGAGTACTCTTTAACAGCAGCAGCAGATTGTAAATTTTGCTGAAAATCGTCATAACATGTCAATGGTAAATTGGTGATTTTGTTTCATCAGAAAGCTTATGCGCATGTTGTTTGTCACTACACATCATATATCTGTAAGTTGTAACATAGAAGTTCACAGCATTTTGTTGAACACAACAAGCAATAGTTGTGTAGTTGAATTAGAGAAACAATATGGTGTATACTACTGTATGTTGTAGTGTTATACCAACAAAACGATACTATAATGTTCCTATCTATTTTAGATATTGTCATCACTTTGGTCTACGAGGTTTTCCATACAGTATCTGTATAATTGGACCTAACAATCTCTACTGTGCCTACCCTTTTATAGTATACTCCCTTTGTATCACACACAATTTTACACTGTTACAGAATCTCATTTAACATTACTCATTGTTTCTTTGTTCAGGTGTTGTTGTTTGAAAAGAAGTCTACTTGTTTTGCTATTGTTTCGAGTCAGATCCATATGAATTAGATCTATTAATCAAATATGAGGTAATTTTTGTACCTAAGTCGATTGTAGATTCGATGATACCATTTGGCCAACTAGTTTGTGCTACATAAAATGTGTTAGTATTTTTTTTTCCCTATGATTTTAGGCGAAGGGGTGACTTTTAGTCTTTTACTCGTATGTGATATGGAGGTTGAGGAGACTAGGTCGTTGATTGTAATATATTGATGCATATGTTGAGTACGAGTTTTGTGTAACTTCGAAAACATTTATGACAGAGAACAAACCTAGAGATGGAGAACTAACCATCAAACTAGTTTAACAGGCAAATTAACAAAGTCATTTACAGTATTTAGGAATTAGGATTAGTTCATAAGATCTTATACAACATACATAGTCAATACAGTGGTAGTTGTTGCAACAACTGTCCTCCCCATCCCAGATTACCACTTTACCAGAAACTGAACCTACAAGTGAAACAAGTTGGTGTACAATTAATACAATAGTATCTACAACATAGTTTCTATGATCGCAATCATTACCTTCGCCACATTGTTTACAAATTGGATATAGGGTTGTCCGGTTGGGGCAAGGTTGTTCACCTACAATGCAGCTAACGCCGTTAGAGTTATTGTTATCATTCACGTTGTTAACCCTTTCATTCGATTATGTTGTTTAAAAGGATCAGAGGAGCTGACTGTGTCGCGGAGGTTACTCATTTCCATTTGCAGCAGAAGTGGTTAGATTGTTAGAATAAGATGGGAGGAAAATTTTCTAGAGGGAACTGTCAATTTATGGATGAAGCTTTAGACTTAAAAGAAAAGGCATTCTTGCCATAAAATGGTTATCTCATCCAGAAAAAAAGTAAGAAGACTGGGAACAATTATAGCTTTTGGATTATCATGTTATAAATCAAAAGAGAGTCGTAATAGTTTTGGCCTTGTAAGAAAAGCTGCCTTAATTTAGCTTTTCTTTCCATTTTCCTTTGAAATGTACTCTTAAGAATTCTGTCACATTTATGCAATGATCTATCATGCAGTGAAAACATATTGGTGTACGCAGAATGGTTGTTGGGTTGAACATATAAAGTTAGACACTTCATGTATTGTACCGTGTATCATAATACCTGTTAAGGTTCTATTTCGCGCAAAGTGACTGAAGTAGCAACTACGGTTGCCAATCACCTCAAACCTAAGATATTTAGACTAAGGGACTATTTACATATACTGAACTGAGCTGAATTGAACTGAACTAATTGAAGCTAAACTGAACTAGATCTGAAATTAAGTTGAAGTAAACAGACCCTAAATCACCTTACATGAACGACCACAACATACATAACTCGAACCCCATCAATCGTTACCCCATATAGGAAGCAAGTCTAACCATTGGCAATCAATAACTTTCATGCTCAAAAGTCACATCCTTACTCTCTCATATACAACTCACATGAAGTAGGTTGATAATTTGACACTTTTTTTGTTCCTTTTTGCCAAAAATAACAAGGAAAATGGAGGAGATTATACATACTTTTTTAGATTATACTACCATTTTTTTTTTAAGATTATAGCTCCAGCTGTAAAGCATATACTGTAATTTGTAAAATTTTCATCAAAATTTTCTCCGGAAATCACTCACTTAAGGACAGTCCTTTCTAATTTGAGGAAGTTGTAAAGTCATTATCATAACGCCTAGTGATGAGCCCTCATTACTGGGGAATGTATTAGAGATTCTTTTCATTTTTGTGCTTCAAATTCAATCATACCTTTGCTTTCTCATCAACATATTATAGTCCACTCTTTATTTGATTGACATAAAGTCGAAATTCTTCGAAAGTAGAACGTAGATTTGTACATATCAACAAAAATTACACGTATTAGAGGCACGACCTGCTCTTACAGAGGGCTAACTCGAAAAAGAAAATACTTTGTATTATCAATCCAATGACGGTCCATTTACCGGTTTAATAATCAATAATTATATGAGCTCAGGCTATAAGAGACATTAATTCCAAAACAATATTTTGTAGACATTTATGCAACATAATATGTTTGTCCTTAGATGTTAAAAAGGGCTCCACACACATGGAGAAAAAAGAGGTATCATGCACATCCTTCTGGCTATCACATGATAAAATTGGGATATTTGTGGTTAGGAATTTGGATGGATAATGTGTTCTAAGGACAGGTAGATAAATAAGATCACAAGATTGATTCAAGATATGCTTTTCATGTTTTATATATCCCCACAATTTAGATGGTCCATCCCACTTAATAAATTTCAAATCATTCATATTATCGACCCGTCATCATTAATGTTTCGAACAAATTAGGCTTCCTCGATACTTTAAGGAGATTAGATTAGATATACACAACCTTAGCTCTATAAGTCATCGTACTTTCGCCAACCTTTTTTTTTATAAAGGGGAAAAAATAATCCATTATGGTACAATGCATAAGATAGTAATTTAGAAGTACCATGTTTCATTAATTCCACAAAAAGTGTCATTAGCTTTCAAAAAATAAATCAACTCGAGTACCATTGTCTTATAAAAAAAAAGAAAAAAAAAAAAAAGAAAAGTAGTCTGAATATTTTTGAAGTACAAAGTATATTCAAAAGTATTTACCTGTATTATATAATATCCATGCTCGAATTAAACAATCATGCACCAACTAATTAATTAATTGCCCACATACATGGATTACTATTGTTAAAAATAAATAGATTAAATGAGACAATCTTAATAAAACGGATAGTAGAATATACAATACTATTACGAGGTTGGTGGAAGCAATGGAACAAACGATTTAAAAATAAAAAGAGACACTTTGCCCATAATGGTCCAAGTAAGGAGAAAAATCAGTCAAAACATTGGAATTGGCACTACCAATCACAAACCCTTTAAAAATTGGTTGGCGAAACTATAGGATAAAAGATGCATAAAATGATGCAGTAAACGAGAGACACAGATACCTTTTGCTTTTGTTTATGCAAATATCAATAAAATCTTCAAAAAAAACCATATCATAAAAGAAAATTCACTTAGGAAATTGTATGCACCAATGTCTTTGTTCCCTCCCAACTTGGCATTTTCATGTGGAATCATCAATATCAAACCTTAGTCAAAGACAATACATTTGTATACTTTATCTATTTTGTACTATCATACAACTTCAATAATAGTGCATATATTATCAACAAAAAAAATAGAATATACACGTATGAATAAACGCATATTCACCTCATCAGCAACGCGAACTAAGCTTAAATGGATTTTTTATGAGAGAAGAAAATTAGGAACTGAACTGAGCTGAAATTAAGTTGAACAGAACATGTCCTAAGTGTATTTGTAACTGTTACTTTATTAAAAGTGTTTTTTTTTTTTTCATTATAGCTAGTACTCGATCACACTAGAAAACTAAAGAAAAAGAAGACGTCGACATTGATCTTTAACTAGGATCCACAAACATGTTCAATAAACAAAAACAACACTAACCATTATGCTAATAGAAAGAAAAGCACATGATCATTCTATACCCATCACAAGATAAATTTTGTGCACAAAAATGTAAAGACAAATTCGAAAAGAAACAGAATGGCCTAAGCAAAGAATGACTAGAAGCAACACTATATAAACAATATGAAGTACTATATAAATTTGAGTTAATAGGAGCTAATATTCATCAGTTGTAATATGCAAGTGAAGAGCTTAGTAATAACCCTTCCTTTTAGTCAAAATGTTATTTTGCATCTATTGCTGAGGCTTCGGAGACAAATTCAAACATATCTTCACCTCTCCGAAACCACCAAGCATAAGTAAAAACCCTAGGAAAAGTTTATCTGATTCTTTCTTTTTCTTCTTGTTCTACCAAAAGACTATAAGAATACTACATGTTTTCTACTGAGATATTTCCGAACTTCTTTCATCTTCTGTCATAATAAGCAAAAAAAAAAACCTGTGCAAACCTTCTTACATAAATGGCCGTCTTCATTTTGTGTATTCATAATCTTCTTTTTCTATTCAAACTCCTTCTACCTAAATCAACAGGGAGGAGATGATGCTTCGGACTTCTGACTTGACCTCTTTTTATCATAATCGTCTTTCTTTTAGCCTTTCTGTTATGTACTTTCGCTAAAAGGACTTCAAACTAACAGGACTTGGGAACGGCAGATAACCAAATGAAATGAAACTGTTCTATATTGGGAACCAAAGCCAAACCATTGAATCGCAGTATTCCTAATTTTTCTTTTTTTTTCTCTATAAGTATATATCTCCTGTGTTGCTGGACATCTAGATGACTGTAGAAATGCCGTTTCCCATTGTTGACGCAAAAGGGCTCTCCGGAAGGTCAATCCCCTGGCTGCTAGCAGATAATGAAATCAGAACAATCTAAAATACTGTCTATACCTTAATTAAAAACTACACACTTATTTTGGGAAAACATAATTTGATCCTCTCTTTTCAGTAAGCTTTTTCTCTCTATTATTACTATAAAGTTGACCCCCAACAAGGCGATAACCACACACCTAGATCCTTCTCTATACTTTTCCACTCTATCTCCATGCAAAAAGCTAAATGTCGTCAATATTATTAAGGGACAGAGAGCGATAAATGGTAAACGGTTTATCAATGTGTAAAGGCTAATTATATGATGCATACCTTTCTCGATCAATGTAATCAGTGCCTGGATGGTTCGATCCACTACTTAAAGAACAGTTATTGAAAACATCCAGCAAATAGTGATATTGTTCAGAATTCGTGATT